TGAAAGTCTTCCTCTATGTTGCCTACAAGAAAGGAAATTTCATCAGTCTTCTTCACCGGAAAGGAAATTTCCTTGGGGTGTCTCAGAATGTGGACAACGATAAATAGATAAGTACCTCTCATAACAGCTGTGTTTGAATATTAGTCAACAGTTTTGAGCACAATGCTATCTTGGTATGTTCTGCACCTTTGATTTAGCGGAGAGAATGGCTCTATTCCCTTGAAAAAAATATATAGACTAATTTATTGTCATGCCGATGGGAGTGGACCAAGAATCATTTATTTGGAGATATATATAAACTCAAGGGCTAGAAAAAAATTATCCAAATAAAAAATCGTTTATTCATTTAATTATTATCATGAATGTTTTTTTATTATTTATAGGTGCTATATTTTGGCTTTTGGCTTTATCCTAATTAGCTGAAATTGAATTCCTATTTACCTAAATAGTAAACTATATTGTGTGTGAAAACTAAAACTACTGAAGATTACTTATGAACTTTATTAGGTTTTGATTAATGGGTAAATTGTCAGATATGATTATTTCATATGTTTTCTTGTAAAACCATTATATCTTGTACTTGGAATGGAGGAAGAAAATCTTGTGTATGGTGAGAGAAATTGCAAGATATTGAAGCAAAATTGAATTGAGTAACAAAGAAAGTCCAAACAATCACTAATGCAGAAAATATTTCCTGACTTGAGGAGTGGGTTGGAGATCATGACAGAGAGAAATCTAAGAAGATTGCATGCTTATAAGAAAAGTCAAGTAGATCATGACAGAGAGAAATCTAAGAAGATGATTTGGATCCATTTTAATGATATTATTAAGTGGACCCAAACCACTGATTGCATTGTATTATAAAGTCCGAATAATCACTAATGCAGAAATATTTCCCGACTTGAGGAGTGGGTTGGAGAGATTCCCAAGCTTCAGTAGTTGTCTATTGTGGAACAAGTGTTTAGTTCTCATTGAACTTTCTTTGTTATATTTTTCTTTTTGTCCTTTTTTTCTTTTGGAATAGGATGAGAACCACATAACATGAGTATATGGTCAAAGTCTTCCTCTACGTTGCCTGCACTTGGCTTCTTGCTTCACTAGGCCCAAAAACCTTTTGGAAATTTGATTAGTCTTCTTCAACTGAAAGGAAATTTCCTTGGGGTGGCTCAGAATGTGGACAATGATAAATAGACCTAGCTGTGTTTGAATATTAATCAACAATTTTGATCACATACTTGGTATCTTCTGTACCTTTGAGTTTAGCGGAGAGAATGGTCTATTCTCTTGAAAACAATATATAGACTAGTTTATTGTCAGTTGTGTTTGAATGTTAATTCATGATCTAAAAAATGAATGCTTCAGATCATTAAGTGGACCCAAACGACTAGTTAGCATTGTATCAACTTTTTGTTTTGGATATCTAGCAAATACATATTATGTGGTGTTATATCGTTAGTGGAGGATTCGGTGGTGACACCCTAGGCAAAGATATTCAATTCGTTTGGCTATTCCAAAAGCGATATCTTTCAACTAAAAAAAGAATTCTTATTATATGTTGATGATAAGAAACTTGGCAATGAACCTTTTGGAAAGATTTCATGAACCAAGAGCACCAAGAATCATTTATTTGATATCTAAACTACACGACCATTCAAGTACTAAGAGGCCAAATATCTATTTGGGTTTACTTCACAATGTCATCACATGATTCGATCGTTTAATTTTTATGTCATCTTTTATAAGAAGTATTGAGTTCATCTATTTATTTGATGGCATGTTTACTAATCCGTAATTGGATTAGGAGGAATTGAATTGAGGATGAATTGAATTGAGGAAGGGTTCGATTGAGGAGAATTAGATTCCGGATTCCTAATGAAGTTATTTACTAAACCATATGGATTGAGGAGAGTTAGATTCCGGATTCCTATTGAGTTGTTTACTAAACCATATGGAATTGTGGTAGGAGTGGTACTAATTACTAAAATGTTCTCATTGTTGGGTTAAAGTAGATGGCATATTTGGAATTTTGAAAATTGTGTGAGGATATAATGGGTAAAAAAGATGAATTCCTAATGGGTGAATTCTCCAGGAATTAGAATATACCACCTCCCACCCAAGAATTGAATTCCTCCAAAATCAGGAATTCAATTCCTAATTTTGGGTGGGCCCCACTTACTTTTCAATTCTTTGATGTGAAATAAACGCGTGAATTCTCCATAAGCGGAATTCAATTCCTTATGAGAATTCCAATTCCTGATTAGTAAACACACCATGAGTAACTTTTTGTAAAGATTATCTTTAAGTAATGACCTGTTGTGGAGTTAGCGTAAAGTAATGGCTAATATTGTAATAACTTGATAATAAGAGGTTATAGCTTTTGGATAAAAACTTAAAAATAATAATTTAGTAGAGGGGTTCACAGGAAATATTGACATACTCTCATCTAAATATTACACTTACACATTAAAGAAAAATTAATCTTATATGGAGTTTTTAGTTCTAGTGATTAAGATCATTTATTTTCACCCCGGAAGATCAATATTTGATTCTTCTTTCTTCTTTAGTGTTTGTATGAAACTCAGATTCCGCCTCATGTTTTGCGTAACCTACATTGAAACCTTATTAGTCTTTTCTCACTTTTTTGTTATGTTTTTAATAATTTAAATAATAAATAAAAAGTAACATGTTTTATCATTAAATATATATGTGGGGAGTGGGTTAAAATATACATGTTAGATCAAAACAAAGAAAGTCCAAATAATCACTAATGCAGAAAATATTTCCTGACTTGAGGAGTGGGTTGGAGAGATGCCCAAACTTAAGTAGTTGTCTATTGTGGAACAAGGGTTTAATTCTCATTGAACTTTCTTTGTTTTTTTTTCTTTTGGATTAGGATGAGAACCACATAACATGAGTATATGGTGAAAGTCTTCCTCTATGTTGCCTACAAGAAAGGAAATTTCATTAATCTTCTTCACCGGAAAGGAAATTTCTTTGGGGTGTCTCAGAATGTGGACAACAATAAATAGGTAAGTACCTCTCATAACAAATGTGTTTGAATATTAGTCAACAGTTTTGAGCACAATACTATCTTGGTATGTTCTGCACCTTTGATTTAGCGGAGAGAATGGTTCTATTCCCTTGAATCGGAGAGAATGGTCTATTCCCTTGAAAACAATACATAAACTAATTTATTGTCAAGTTGATGGGAGTGGACCAGGAATCATTTATTTGGAGATATATATAAACTCAAGGGCTAGAAAAAAAATTAGCCAAATCAAAAATCGTTTATTCATTTAATTATTATCATGAATATTTTTTATTATTTATAGGTACTATATTTTGGCTTTTGGCTTTATCCTAATTAGCTAAAATTGAATTCCTATTTACCTAAATAGTAAACTATATTATGTGTGAAAACCAAAACTACTGAAGATTACTTATGAACTTTATTAGGTTTTGATTAATGGGCAAATTGTCAGATATGATTATTTCATATGTTTTCTTGTTAAACCATCGTATCTTGTACTTGGAATGGTGGAAGAAAATCTTGTGTATGGTGAGAGAAATTGCAAGATATTGAAGCAAAATTGAATTGAGTAACAAAGAAAGTCCAAATAATCACTAATGCAGAAAATATTTCCTGACTTGAGGAGTGGGTTGGAGATCATGACAGAGAGAAATCTAAGAAGATTGCATGTGGGAGAGAGAGAAAGAGGAGGAAGAGTAGGGAGAGAGAGGCAAAAGGTGTGTCTGCGAGGGGGGAAGCGCGCAGGCAGAGTGAGAATGCAGGTGCAGATATTTTTCTTTTTCTTTTTGATGGATTTAAGTTTTAAAATATTTAAAATATATTTTATTTTATTTAAAGCCATGTGGCTTTATACTATTGGATGTGTGGGCTCTACACACGTGCCACATCAGCAACTTAACAGAAAATTTGACGGAAACTAACAGCAGGGACCATTTTGATGTGTAGAGGGTAACCTTAAGGACCATTAGTGTCACAAAAGAACGTTAGGGACAAAATGTGATAATTTTGCAAACGTCAGGGACCATTTGTGATAAAAAGCCTATCTTTAAAGAGTTAAACTGCACTAAATTGGAAATTTCCCTTGTGCTCTGACAGCATGTCTGGAGGAAGTCTCCTATTTGCTGCTTACACAGTGCTCCTTCTTCTTCTTCTTCTTCATGTTCCTTCCTCTTCTTCCCAAACAGTTTCCAATGATAACTCTGATTGTACCCGTTCTTGTGGAAATATTAACATAAGCTCTCCATTCCGATTGAAAGGAGACTCTCAACACTGCGGCAACAAAAGCTTCGAGCTATCTTGTGAGGCCAAGGGAGATGGTACTACTCATCATGCAGTGCTATACTTGTTATCAGGAAAGTATTATGTACAAGCAATCAATTACAATAACTTGACAATCCGACTTGTGGATGCTGGTGTTCACAAGATCAAGGACAACTACTTCTCCCACCCACTCCACTCCTTGACCCCCTTCAACTTTTCTTCTTATTACTCTAATTATACAGGTCCTTATGATTACCCAACTGATTATCCTTACCGAAAATCATCAATGTCTATAATCTTCCTGAGCTGTGAAAATCCAATGAATCCTTCCGATCTCATTGTTGAAACAGCTCCATGCATCAGTGGGGTCAACAACTATTCTGCTTCCAATTCTTCTTTCTCCAATTTAACAACGTATTCTTATTTCATGAAATATTCTTATTCCATGAAATATTCTTATTCCAATCCAACAATAAGTTTATACAATTGGGGGGATTCCTGCAAAATAACACTAATGGTTATGGTGTCCCCTTCAACTGAGGAGCACATGACGTCTTGCAAAGGAATATATAATGAAATAGCGCATGGCTTTGAACTCTCATGGCTTGATTATGGATGCATAGGAAGTTGCGCGTATTATGGCTTTCAACTCTCATGGCGGCTTTCAACTCTCAACGGCACTGGAATTGATCAATGCTCAGAACAAGGTTAGACAATTGCCAAACCTTTAAATTATAAATTATATATTAAAGATGGCTTATTTATTACAGTGCCCTCTAAAACTATGTTAAATATCAGTTTTACCCCTGGAAGTTAAACTGTAATTTCCAACAGTTACTAAGCTAATGTTACAGTTTTCTTTTCAAAGTAGCACCCTGGCTCACGAAGATAATAATGTTACAGTTTTCTTTTCATAATTTGTGTATAATTTATAACCAGAATTCTGTTTATGCTAATCTTACTGTCTTCTTTCGCAATGTAGTACGAGAAATCCCTTGGTACGACAAGATCATAATGAACATAATCGAGAAAATAGGCGAGTGGATCCCTCAACTCTGTAAATAGACGTTTACTTTTCTTTGGCCTTTTCGCTTGACTAACCACCTTACTCATTCCATTGATCGATTCATTTCTTTACTTCTGTTGCAGAAGAAAGTCTTTACATCACATATAATTTGCAAAGGAGTATATTATTATTATTATCATTATTATACTTCGTGTTCATTAATTCCATTTTTGTGAACCATGCAGCAATATACCTGGCAGCCAAATTTTCATTGGGTTTTTGTTGTTTAACTGCACTGGTAATATATAAATGGCGAAGGAGGCACTTGTCAATGTATGAGAATATAGAAGACTTTCTACGCAGTAATAATAATTTCATGCCAATAAGGTACTCTTACTCGGACATCAAAAAGATGGCCATAGGTTTCAAGGACAAATTGGGGGAAGGAGGCTATGGCTCTGTATACAAGGCAAAGCTCCGCAGCGGTCGCCTTGTAGCCAT